TGATTTCCTTACTCAGAGAGTGATCTCAGCGTGCTCAAAGGTGGCTGGATCCAAAACCTCCTGTTTGGAATCCGTCGCTCAGTGTAAGACTCAGTTGATCCCACTTGGGAGAAGGCGGTCCGAAAAGGTCCAGTTAGCAGGAAGGCTTCCTGCTGAAAGCCAAAGAACAAACAAATCAGTGCTAATGCATCTTTAAGCCTGTAGCCTATTTTCCTCAATATACTTCAGAAGTTCCTGTTTGGTGGATGTGACATCAAACATGTTAAACAGTTTCCACTTAGTGCTATATTTAAGATAAATTTTTTGGATACTTGGAATCAACCATGCTGCTCAATTCAGCCACCAATAGCAGAGGTGAAAAAGGCATAAAAAAAAAAAGAAAAACAACTTGTCATGTACAAGATTGAGCTACAAGAATCAGAAGAGTGTTGCAGTTCTGTGTTTGGCCACAGGTGGCAGTATCATTACAAAAGTCCGTCAATGCCTCTTTAAGAACGTTTTATAATGGTTTTTCTTGCAGCATCATCTTATAAACAATTCTAATTAATCTATTTGATTTCCACTCAGTTTAGGTCAACAAGCAAGTTAATTAAATAACAAATATTTGTTATAAATTATACAGAAATTAATTTATTATTTAAAAAATCTGATTGCAGCTCAGATTTTTCTGTTTCTGGGGTGTAAATCTGAATTTGTGAAATAAGTCAGTTTCTCTTAGCTACTCTATATTTGAGAAAGGCAAAATGTATTCCCAAAATGGAAAGAAAATCACTTGCTCATATTTATTATCAGATCAATATCTAGAAATAACATAGCTCCAAAAAACAATAATTAGAAGAGGAGAATAAATAAATCTTAATATGTTAATAGTAGATAACTGCAGCATAGAGCTGCATCTTAGGGTCATCAGGAACCTTAGCAATCATTAGGCACTAACACCATGGCAACTGGTTGTTTGGGAGGCATGTCAGCATAAAACCTCTTCTCTCTTACAAAAATACATTATTTTTGCCACATATTGCTGCTACTTAGAGAAGAACAATTCTCTGCCATGAGAATATTGGATTAGATAGAAAGCAAAGTATCTCATGTCGACTGTTAATGTATGGTGGATGATCAGTGGTGCTGTGGGCATGTTTCTCTCTTAAAGTCATAGAAACCTTATTTGATTAAGCATTTGGCTTTATATTAAGGCTTATGTCAGACCTTTAGTAATAATTGAAATCAGAATGCCTTTGTTTTTAATTGCACAATGCACAATGAGGAATGATAGGTTTAGAGGAATAGCATGTGCAGAACAATAAATGAATCAAAAGGGGATAGAATTTGAGTGGTGTGTGACTAGTTTTTCTTGCTGTTTTATCAAAGCAGCTTTCACAGCATCTCATCTCTGTTTCAGCCAGGGAAATCCGGCTACAACCAAGTGACAACTCTTCAGAAGCCACAGAGTGGTCTCGGGAGTTGATGAGGACCCAGTATGAGTGGTTGTTCAAAAAACTGACAGTTACTGCTAACAACGCCAGTGTTTTAACTGATCAGGATATTGTCATTTACACTGTAGGTATCTCTAGTTTGACATATACACCACTAATTACTATCTAGACATATACGTATTTTTTGTAGTTATTCTTTGCTATGTTCTGAATAATTTTCCTTTAGCTTTTTATTAATTTAAACATACAGACTATAAAATGTATTTGTTATAAAGCTGTATAATTTTTAAGAATACTTATTTGGGATTTAATCTCGGTACAAGTTTAAAAAAACAAGCACTGCAGCAAAAACATATCTAAAGATAATTTACATAAAGATATATTTCACATTAAAACAACAGTTTTATTGCACAGAGAAATTTTTACTAAACCTTATTACAAAGCTCCATTTGCTGCTTTTGATGTAAATTAATCTAAATCCTGAATGTCGTTTCTCTAGATCACAATGAAGAGGAGGTCTCTGCTGTACATTGTCAACTTCTTGCTGCCTGTTCTCTTCTTCTTGTGTCTGGATTTGGCATCCTTCATGATCTCAGACTACGGAGGAGAGAAACTCAGCTTCAAAGTCACCGTGCTGCTTGCCATTACGGTGTTACAGCTCATTCTCAATGAAATTCTCCCCTCTTCCTCCAACAGGGTCCCACTCATTGGTAGGATTAATCCTTGCTGTTGCTGGACTGCTCTCATGTAAAGTAAACCTGATCTAACCTTGTTAATCTTGTGCAATCTGATCCTTTTTAGCCACTTATTGCATTGGAGTTTTTGCTCTAATGATGCTCAGCCTCTTTGAAACCATTTTTGTGATGTATCTGCGAGAGAGGGGCTCCCAGCAGGTTGAAAGAGACGAACACAACATACAGGAATCTATCAAGTCAACTAGAGGTACAGTAGGCTCCGCACTTTCTACACTGATCGGAGATCCTGATTAGAAATAATTATTACTGGGAAACTGGCAGTGGTGTCAAAAGTACACACATTTGTTACTTAAGTGGAAGTATAGATTCTGCAGTTTAAAAACACTCTGGTATCAACTTGACCTCTTTACTCAAGTAAAAGTGAAAAGTATGAGCCCCAATAACAACTTAAAGTATAAAAGTATAAACAGGCTTCATACAGGAATGAGTAACTCACATTTAATGCTTTTTAATGTTCTTTTAATAATCTTAGAAGTAATTTTAATGCCAGGGCAAGTACCCATGATATATATATTTACATATATATATATATTTACATATATATAT